TTGTCATCCCCCTTTTGAAATTTTTTAAAGGAAAATTTTAATCCATTCTGTTTTACGGTGCCCAAAACTGTGCAGCAAAATCTTAAAGAGGCCAAAACCCAAGGATGATGGTTGAGAACAACCTGAGGACCCCCTTATTTTTATGCTTTTTTGATAAAAATCCGGGAAATTTCCCTATTAGCTTTTTTTGCAAAACACTTATGCATGTTGTTTGTTTAATTATGCTAACCAAAAACCCCTTTAAATCTTTTTCGCAATCCGTAAATATTAAGATCTCCCATTATTTAGTTTATAGGTGGCATGGTTATTGTCCGCCCAACATTTGAATTTTGCTTTTGTCTTTTAAAAACTGCATCTCCCACTTTTCCGCCACTGAAAATCAGTCTTTTCAAATCTTCCGGGGTCCCTCAAAATTGTCCCGTCAGAATAAATTTCGCGGCCTTTTTTGGTGTCATCGGAAAAAAAACTTGCCGATGTCGCTTTTTTTTGCCCTCATCTTGTCTTTTATGTAAAATTGTGAACAGAAAGGGGGCCCAACACGGGCCCCCCTGGGGGAACACCGCTCGTGACGTTTCCCCACTCTGATTTCTCCCCTTTATGAAAAACCTCTGCTCCCTATTTGTAAAAACCCATGCCTTTTCCCCAGGGAAAAAAAAATTTTTTCCTTTTTCCCAATGTGCTTTAATTTTCCTAAATTAGTCTCTGATGGGGGGCCCCCTTTTAAAAACCCTTTAAATTGAATTTCCTTTAACAATATCATATTCTTTACCATGTTTTCTACCCCCTCAAATCCCTTAGTGAAAAAATTTTAAAAAAATTGAAAAAGGCGGGAAAAAAAAACCCCCCTTTTTGAAAAACCAAATGCTGAGATTCGTTGTTAAATTTTATGCTTTTAAAGGTGGCTACGAACTGCCCGGCAATTATTGATTCCAAAATTTTCCCACTATGGGGGGTTAGGCTTTTTGGGGCCTTAGTTCAAAAGAAAAAGGGGGACCTGTACCTGTTTTGAAAAAAAGTATCACATTTCCCTTTTTCCCCTTTTACTGGCCCATGCCAGTTTGTAGTGATATGTTGAAAAGATTTGCCAAAAGGGGTGCTTTAAACTCCTCTTTACCCTTTCCTTTTGAACCTTGGGTACAGTTTTTATTTAGGGCCTGGGGGGTTTTTTAGGTTTTAATTTAAACTATTTCCTAAGGACCCTGTCACTTGTGACCCTAATAGTGCACAGTTTATTTTCGTTTTCCGTTCTACTTTAAATTTTTAAATTTCTGGGGAAAATCGCCCGGTATCCCCCTGTGGGAAAAAAAATGGAGGAAGTATGTGGGTTTAAAATTTAACATTTCCTTATCACTGTCAGTGAGCTGACCCGGGGGAATTTTTTAGGGGGGGCCCATTTTTGTCCCCGGGTCTTACTTCTGTATACCCGAAAGGAAACCCTTTTGGGGTTTGCTTTTGATTTTTTTCAATTTAACCCCATAATCTCTTTTTGCCTTTTTCTAATTCCTTTTTTATTTTCTCTTTAATGAATTTATCGATTTCTTAATTGCCCCCCTCCCCCTTTTGATTTTTTCCCAAAAATTTCCCCTTTTTGAAAAAATCAGATATTTTAAACTATTGTTTTATCCATTTAGGGGTCATTTTTGTTTTATTGATTTCCCTATTTTTGGAAAAATAATTTGGGCTGGCAGTAGAAAATATTGGCCCCCGGGGGAAAAGCATCATATCGGCAAACCCCACCACCTTTCCTGAACCCCCAGTTCAGGTCATTCCAGTTCAAACCCCCCCTAAAAAAATTTTTTAGGCCTATGAAATAGCAAAAGGGGAAAATCAGGGACGGAGATTGATTGCCCTTATTAGGGGGAAATTTCCCCTGTATGTTTAAAATGAGTGATTTTTGATCACTCTCCCCAAGTCATAAATTTAACCCCAAGTTTTTTAAAAGTGTTTCCCCAAAGGCAAAAACCAAGTCAAGGAGGTTTTTTTCCCCTTTGTTGGCTCTGTCACAAAAGTTTAAAAAACAAACCTGGAAAGTTTCAAGAAAGTCACCCCCCACTCTTTAAAATTTTCCCGTCAAATTTCTCCGTCAAACTGTCTATTGTTTAAATCTCCCCTTAGCACAAAAATTTTCGTATTTAGAAAGCCTTACGAATTTCGTCCCCTAGAAGTTTACTGAAATCCCTTTTTTTTTTCCCCCCCCAAAATTTTGGGGCCCCGTAAACACACCAAAATTAGTTTTTTTCGGCCCTCGAGAAGCTGTAACCAAACGATTCAGTGGTGCGTTCTAATTTAATATTTTGTCTAACCTCCCAAAATTAAAATTTTTCTGAAAATCCCTCGCTACTCCACCAACCTTTTCCCGTTGACCCCGTCAGTGGGGGAAAAATTTATAGCCTTTTATGTGACCAATTAGAGGGGGAATTTTCTTTTCTTTCAGATTGAAACCAGGTCTCTGTTATAGCATTTAAAATTTTATGTTTCCGGGACTTGCAAATTTAAACTTAGCCCATCTATTTTTTTTTTAACACTCCTGCTATTAGTATATTTTAAAACCCTTTAAGGGGGCTAGTCCCCTTTCTGCCCTCTGCTGTCCCCCCTTTTTTTGCTGGGCCTGTTTTAAATTTTCTTTATTTATAACTTCATGTGAATTTCTTTTATACATTTTTCTGTTTCCAACCCCAGTGTTTTAAACCCGCTTGTTTCCCACACACACCCCAAACCCCTATCTTTCCCCTCCCGTTTTTAAAAACATAGGCCCTTTCACCAATGGGCCTTCTCAATCGAGTTGCAAATTTTACCCCCCCCTGCCCCAAGGGATGAACCCCCCTCCCTTGCATTCTTTTTGTTTGCCATTTAAAAATTTTTCCCGTTGTCAATGAATGGGGGTTGAATTTTTTTTCAGTATTCGTCTAGCCAGCAAAATTTTCACCAAATTTCCCTAGACAAAACCTTCATTTCCTACTCCCCCTTTTAGGCAAAATGGTTTCATTTGATTGGGGTCCCTTCCCCTTAGACTTAATGAAAAAACTATTGCTGACCTGTACTTATCTAGCAGCTTTCTCTCCTAACCTTCCCCAAAATTTATTTCCCAAGGGACTGGACGATAATGGGCTTGTTCCCTTACCCGACATTTTATTTTCCCGTTGTTGAAATGTCCCCCAACCCCCACTCAAGGGGGGGACACTTTCCCTTTTTCTTTTATTCCCATTACAAAAAGCACGGTCAACATATCCCTTTCCCCGGGTCACCCCCACAAAAATGGGGCTTACCCCTTTATTAGAGGGGGGAGTTGTCCCTTACCTTCATGGCCAAAAGAAATTTAAAAAAATCCCGGAGAACAGAGGGAAACGATTTTCCTTTTTTTCAGATTTTTCACTCTTAACTTTCCTTACTCTGATGCGCCTCCCCTTTCTGTGAAAAAAAACTCGCCACTTGGGGCAGGTGCTGGGCTGCACCTCTGCTGGTAGCCGTTTGCTACCCCCCCACCTACAGGCTCCCCACGTGAGGAAGGGCGAACCCCCACTGCTAGAAGCCTCATTCCCCATCTCCAAACCCCCTCCATTCTCCCCAGGCCCATTTAGGTGGACCCTTTAGCCTCCCCAAACTCCTTTCCCGGAGAAAAAAAGACCCCCTCCCCTTTAACTCTCCAACCTCGTTTTTTAAAAAAACTGCAGAAGCAAGCCAAAAGCTTTTTAACCCCTTTCCCCGCTAATCCCCAAAGCAGTCAAAGGGGTTTTGGGGGTACAGGCTAAAAACTTGGTTTGTGACTTGAAAAAAACCCTCTGTGGGGCGAAAAAGTAGTTTAATAAAGGATACATTATAATGCATTTTGTTTATATTGCCCTTTGATCATTTTAGCTTTAGAAAGGAATTTTGACAGTATTGGGGTTTGGGGAAATGGGTAGTTGTGAGTGGAAAAAGTCTGCCCCAGTTTGGGTTACTTTAAGCTAAAAAATTTGGGGGAGTTTCAAATTTAGGTTGGGGTAAATACAGAGTGGAGGGGTTGGACTTGAGTAGGACTTGGGGCCCTGAGTTAGTGGGTTTTTTCAGAGGGTTTTTGTTAGGGTTTGAAAATAAAGTGGGGTTTGGGGAAAATTTAACATTCTGTTAGTGGGTTGAAATTTTTGAAGGCCCCGTCCCCGTATGGGCCCAACCCGGCCCACTGCCAAATGGGTTTCCCCCTTTTTTATGTTTTTTATGTCTCTACCCTTGCCCAGGATCGAAAAATACGGGCATCAGGGTGGGCCCAGAGCGTTTTCCCCGGGACATGAAGGGTTTAAAATTTAGTGGGTTTGACCGTAGCCCTGAGCCAGAGGCCTTGCAGTGCTCCTCCTCTCTTTATGTTCTTAAAGCCTATATATAGCCGTCCTGCTCCACCTCTGTTAGTGTGACTTTGTCAATGGTCCAAATCGGACCGAAACGTCGTCGTAAGCTTCTCTCTTTTATGTGCGGGTTATTTGTGTATGTGTGGCTTATTTCCAGTGGGGTAAAGACCTTTTGTTATGTCCTCCCAGGATGCTACCCACAACAGTCAACTAACCCTAAGATGTGAACATAACACGCTACCACTGCCCCACGAGGTTAACGTGTGGGTAAGTCTAAAATGCGTTGCCTCTGGGTTACCTGGATTACTAATATTAATAGTGGGTTCTTCAATGGTGGTAAATTACAGATTTAAACTTCAGTAACCCAACAAAAATTGATTGGTTAATTAAGTTTAAAGCCTATCCACTACACAAGTCTCATTAGGAACGCATGTTACATGTTCACCACCAGTCAATGATGTTTTAATATGTAAAATACGTATTAAAATAAACTCGGTTTATATACACCGGACACTTCTCGGTATATATACCCTTCGATAATTTAACAGTCGGTGTGACTAATCTGCAGTGGGGTAAAAAGCTTATCTTTTATCACTGTAACAATGATAAAACATTGCACAAACGGCGTTTGTTGGAAAAGCACAGAGGAACAAAGGCAAGAGCAGCGTAAGTACTCACACTCCCTCCCTCCGTCCAGCCTGGGTGTTGGGTAGACACTGTTGTCTCTCGGTGCTATTGTCCCGGGTGCAGGGGAACCTCACTCCCTCCAGATGGGGGATCACAGGAAGGACAGAGGGAGGGAAGAGGCAGAGGGGGAGGGAGAGTGTGAAGAGGTAGAGGGGGAGGGAGAATATGAAGAGGTCGAGGGGGAGGGAGAGTGAAGAGGTAAAGGGGGAGGGAGACTTTGAAGAGGTAGAGGGGTAGGGAGATTGTGAAGGGTAAAGGGAAGGGCGAAAGAGAAGAAGAAAGCATAGGGAAGAGAGGAGTGGTGCGCTAATAAAGGTGAGGTCTGGAGAAGGAAGATGGGCTGGGGCGGGACTTGGTGGTAGTTAGTTCGTCAGGGTACACAATGGTCTCTTGACACGGGTCTTTGTCAAATGCTGACCGCTTAAAGCAGTAAAAGGAGAGTAATCAAGAGGAACAATTAAGTAGAAGACGACTTTCTTGGTATTATTAACTCCGGAGGGTTATTAACTAAGACCCTCACAAGCAATGTGGTTTCTCTCCATTGACCTCCTTGGGATGTAACCCACTACACACGACTAATTCCTATAACTTATTCCTTTTAGTTTGTAAAGAAAATTTATAGCAATTCCCCCACTACCATGAATTTTTTAATATCTAAGAAACCTCCTTCAAGCGAGGTGCCTAGATGCTACCTGGAGGGGATCAACGCTCCGAGAGTTTGGCTACTCTCTGAGCCCGGCCATGAGCCAGGCTTGTATAGTGTACTCCCGTCTGTCGAATCTTTTGCATTCGTAGGGAATGATTTATGTGTGCAGATTTGGGACCAATCCCTTTAGGATTTTCCAGATGTAGATTATGATGTATCTTTCTCGTTAGCGTTACAGGGAGTCCAGGTCAAGGGACTTCAGATGTTCCCAGGAATTAAGGCGCTTGACTGAACTAATATGTGCAGTGAAGATTCTCCGTACATTCTCTAGATCTGCAATTTCACCTGTCTTGAATGGGGGTGTTAGTGAACAGCAGTATTCCAGCCTAGAGAGAACGAGGGTATACCTGGAGGTTATTCCAGGGATCAACGCCCCCGCTGCCCGGTCCATGACCAGGCCTCCCGGTGGATAAGGGCCTGATCCACCGGGAGGCCTGGTCATGGACCGGTAATCGAACCCGGGATCTTTCTACTGTGAGCTGAACTGTCTCGCCAGTGAGCTATTCCTCTCCCCTAAACATCTCCATGGAAGTGGGAGAAGACATGTGTAAACAAAGCTTAAAAGATATTAACAAGAGAGAGGGAATACAGGAAGAGGTCATGAGGTTAGTGATTCAAGAGAGAGTACATCGACTCTTATTTTTTAAATTAATATGACTAGATACACGGATAAAATTTACCCAGGTACTGTAGTGTTCTTACACAAGACGGGAGTCTTCTTACACAGAAAAGATGAGAGAGGAGGTTGGGATAGGAAGGGGAGGGATACAGACAGGGTTTGAGGGAGGTGGCCCAGTCTCTTACTCCCCGGAGGCTCTGTGAGGAGTCGTATCCAGAGGAATTTTTACCCTAATGCGTGTAGCGTGCTTGTGGCTGCAGACCAGTAAATACAGTGGTGTGTGTGTGAACATCTCTATGTGTGTATGTTGGCAGGGAACTGCTGTCTCCGCCCCCATATCCTAATCATTAATTAACTAATGTATTGACTTCCTAACCACTGCCTTGTACCCAACATTGTACCCAACATTGTACCCAGCCTTGTATCCAGCCTTGTACCCAACATTGTACCCAGCCTTGTATCCAGCCTTGTACCCAACATTGTACCCAACACTGTACCTAACATTGTACCCAATATTGCACCCTGTCTTGTACCCAACACTACCCAGCCTTGTATCCAACACTGTATCCAACATTGTACCCAGCCTTGTATCCAGCCTTGTACCCAACATTGTACCCAGCCTTGTACCCAACATTGTACCCAACATTGTACCAAGCCTTGTACCCAACACTGAACTTAACATTGTACCTAACATTGTACTATTTGCTGCTCGACTACGTACTGTTTCCCTCGTCAGCAATCCTGGACCAATATGTACCGTGTCATGAGGATTTATTCAATTCTATCCATTTGCTTGTTAAATATTAAAAGGCAAAAAAATATTAATACTAAACGAAAAATAATAAGCGTATAATGATGCCGAATACAAATTCTCTCTTTCCTAGTACTCAGAAAGCATAAAACCATGAGAGAATTTCTCCTCCAATGCCTCACCGAAGGTGAGACAAGGAATATAACATTCTTTATTATGAGTAGTTGTGATAGTGGAATGGTGGTGGTGATGGTGGTAGACATGGTGCAAGTGGAGGTAATGATAGTAGTAATGGTGGTAGCAACGAGAGCAATTATCAAGGCGGTGCCGAACGCACTTCCGTCCGATAGCCAGGAAGTGCCACTACCCTTCACGCCTCTAAGTGTATTCTCTCTCTCTCTCTCTCTCTCTCTCTCTCTCTCTCTCTCTCCTTGTCTCTCTCTCTCTCTCTCTCTCTCTCTCTCTCTCTCTCTCTCTCTCTCTCTCTCTCTCTCTCCTCTCTCTCTCTCTCTCTCTCTCTCTCTCTCTCTCTCTCTCTCTCTCTCTCAATAACTCGATGATGAGAGGGAGAGGAAATATATTAACTGGTTCTAGCACTATAAAACTCCCTGGGAGAAGTTTGCAGGTGTCACGTCAGTGTAAAGACACACCACTTCACAAGGATAACTGAAACAAGAACCAGAAGCTGTTTGTTGAAAAGTAAACCACAAGGACTATTATTATTATTAGTAGTAGTAGTAGTAGTAGTAGTAGTATTAGTAGTAGTAGTAGTAGTAGTAGTTGTTGTTATCTGGAGTCTACCTAGAGGGTATTCCTGGGATCAACGCCCCCTAGACCCGGTCCATGACAAAGCCTCCTGGTGGATCAGGGTTTGATCAACGAGGCTGTTACTGCTGGTCGCACGCAGTCCAACGTACGAACCACAGCCCGGCTAATCAGGTACCGACTTCAGGTATCTGTCCAGCTCCCTCTTGAAGACAACCAGGGGTCTATTGGTAATGCCCCTTATGGCTGGTGGGAGGCTGCTGAACAGTCTTGGGCCCTGGACACTTACTATGTTTTCTCTTAATGTACTATTGGTGTCCCTACTTTTCAGTGGGGGTATGTTGCATCGCCTGCCAAGTCTGTTCTCGTAGGGAGTGATTTCTGTGTGGAAATTAAGGACTAGTCCCTCCAGGATCTTCCAGGTGTAGATTATGATGTATCTCTCTCGCCTGCGCTCCAGTGAGTACAAGTCAAGTGCTTGCAGGAGGTCCCAGTAGTTAAGATGTTTGATGGAACTTATATGTGCAGTAATTAGTAGTAGTAGTAGTAGTATAATACAGTAATATTATAATATAACAGTAGTAGTGGTATAATATAGTAGTAGTATTATAATATAATAGCAGTAGTATGACAGTAGTAGTAGTATAATATAATATAATAGAGCCTGGGAAGAAGGTAGCTCCACTGCCCAAGAACAAGAGTGTTCCCACCCACCCACCCACCGACCTTCAGGGATGGATTCAATGTCTGGTTGGACGGGTGATCACTCCAGCTATTCCTTGGAGCTCCTGAGAAAGTGGAGACACCGGACAATCTAGTGGATGAGTCAACCTCAATCATCAAGCTAAAGTGTCCCGTAAGTTTGGAACCATAGTGCAAAGTAAGCAGTTCTCTATTTTTCATTTTGCAGGTGCTTATGATGATATTTTTGAGTAAGGAAGAACGCAGCCACATAATTCTACTGTAAGGAAATCGTAGTCAGAGACAGGTTGCTGAGGAATTTGGTAGCAGATTGCAGCTAAACCGTCAGTTTTTGGCGTAATACTCAATTAATTTCTTAGAGCTTTCAGTTTGGCTTATTTGCAATCGTGTCAATACGATTTCATGAGTCTTGGAAATTTAGGTTGGAATAGATTTGTTAAGTTTTGCAACGCTAAGCTAGAATAGGCTGGGTTAGGTTTTTTTTAAGCTAGGGTAATTTATGTAGACTGGGTTAAATTAGGTCAGATTAAGCTAGACTAAATGAACTGGATTGGGTTAAACCAGGTTAAGTTATTTTACGTTACGTAAACCTATAAACTCATTTAAAGTAACAAAAAATAATAAAAACAACCGTATTACGTCAGGAAACGAGAAAAAAAACAGGTAACGTTTAATTCCGAACGTTTGTCGTGGTGCTAGAATAAGCTGGTGTCAGAGCAGCAGTGTGAGATGCTATCAAAGCTTTATGAAGCTTGAAACCTTTAAGGATCATTAAGCACAAGGAGGCTCCATCCTTTGAATGAAAATTATGGGCGATGTGTAGCCAGCCAGGCTCTCGGTAATGTCTCCATTCTCTCCATAGAGTCAAGACATTCTTTAGTGTCAAAATGTAATAATCGTACATCTTCGTTGTTTATTTTCAGCCACCTCGTTGGCAGACTTAGGTTAGGTTAGGTTAGGTTAGGTTAGGTAAGGTTAGGTTAGGTTAGGTTAGGTTAGGTTAGGTTAGGTTAGGTTAGGTTAGGTAAGGTAAGGTTAGGTTAGGTTAGGTAAGGTTAGGTTAGGTTAGGTTAGGTTAGGTTAGGTAAAATTAGGTTAGGTTAAGTTAGGTTAGGTTAGGTTAGATTAGGTAAGGTTAGGTTAGGTTAGGTTAGGTAAAATTAGGTTAGGTTAAGTTAGGTTAGGTTAGATTAGGTAAGGTTAGGTTAGGTTAGTTTAGGTTAGGTTAGGTTAGGTTAAGTAAGGTTAGGTTAAGTTAGGTTAGGTTAGGTTAGGTAAGGTTAGCTTAGGTTAGGTAAAATTAGGTTAGGTTAAGTTAGGTTAGGTTAAATAACAAAAAGGCACAATACCGTGACTGGAACGATACACAAATAACCCGCACATAAAAGACAGAAGCTTACGACGACGTTTCGGTCCGACTTGGACCATTGACAAAGTCACACTGTGTGACTTTGTCAATGGTCCAAGTCGGACCGAAACGTCGTCGTAAGCTTCTGTCTTTTATGTGCGGGTTATTTGTGTAGGTTAGGTTAGGTTAGATTAGGTAAGGTTAGGTTAGGTTTGTTAGGTTAGG